ACACACACGCACGCTTCGTTGTACTACTTAACTGCATATATAGCATGTTAGAGTATATTTTAGTGTATTCATCCCTTGTATTACAAAAGTGTTAACGGCTTACATGTATATTATTTAGATAGCAAATACAAAAGTGATTTTTAATTTTGACCAATGTTGACCTGAAAAGAGACCAACTTTGGTCACTACTTTTCCAGAAATTATATTTAGCGACCAAAGTTGGTCACTAAAATTAAATCAGATTTATTTATATTTTATATAATATTTAAAATAATAATATAATTGAAAACTTTTGAATTATATTTATTTATGTTTTATAAAAAAATTTAAATAATAATATAATTATTAAAATTTTATAACTGGAACTCATATTAGCGACCAAAGTTGGTCTCTATCTGCTTATCCTTTAATGAGCGACCAACTTTGGTCGCTAATTTTAAATTATATTTATTTATATTTTATAATTTTTTTAAATAATATTATAATTATTAAAATTTTACATGTGGGTCCCACTTTAGCAATCAACGTTGGTCGCTAATCTCAGTATTTTTTTGACCAAGCAAGTCTGACCAGTCTGGTCAACATTTTGACAAAATTATCGACCAAAAAGCGACCAACCTTGGTCGCTAATGTATTTAGAATAATTATTTAATTATTTTCTCCAATTTAGCAACTAACTTTGGTCGCTTTTCTTGACAGACCAATTTTGGTCGCCAAATTTTGGTCGCTTTTTTCCGGATTTCTAGTAGTGTATTTTCTTGCTTGCTTATTAGTTCGTAGTACTTTAGTTACAAAAATCACAATCACTTTCTTCACACTTACTTGAGCATTAAATTTATAAATAGCTTAGATTGGACAAGAGTTGATCATAAATCCTCGTGGGAACGATATTTTCTTATCACTTTATTACTTGTCGATCGCATATACTTTCGTGTGTGTTTGAACCCAACAAATACAGACAAAAAATGGGTTAACCGGCGGATAATATGGATATTCATATTATCCATAACTTCTTGAATATGATCACTTTTGAGGTTTTACAAATGTAAAAGTTAAACTCATTAGTTATCAATTTTCTAAGTGACTAATATAGTTCTTATCCATATTTGATTCATTTTTAAAAAAGTCATTATTCAACTCATATTTTAATGGATAATATAGGTGAATGACTGTTTTCTTTTAACCATTTTGCCACCACTAAACACAACGTCCAGAACCAAGCAACGGTGAAAAGTCTTTAGTACAACCTTGTCCTGTAATCCTAGGTCATCTACCAACCACAACCCGTATTATCTCACCCTAGATGAGGACCCGCAATTTGAAGGTCGCGGATGCACTTTTACATTCAATTAAAATTGGTTTTATATATAAAGTGTCATTACTAATATATTACTGTATATGCATACACTAAATTTTTGCCTACTTCAGGTGCCGGTGACCCCTCTCTTTACAACATAGGTCCACCTCTGTCTCGCCCAAGGCCAGCTAACCAAGATAAACTGGACTCTGTCTTGGGACTAGACTAAACTCTTGAGAGGATTACGAAACTTATGAAATAGATAAATAATAAACGATGAATACATGAGATACCATTTATGGGATCATTAGCTAGGCCTGTTACTATTACATTAATTTAAAGCCACTTCCAAATGCAATCTGCCAAACTTTGTGAACCTGCGTCAGCTTCAAACTCTTTTCCAGACTCATCAATAACAGCCCTTCCACTCGCATGTATATATGCAGAAATGATAATAAGGGCTAACTTGAAATCTGGAATATACGGCCTTTATTGAATATCTTCTCAATTAACGCAAGCTGCTCGTAGTGATATTCATCTTATAAGCGTTCCACCAGCGACTGCCAAAGAGATCTCTTGACAAAGAAACCCCGGCGAGTTTTCTCAGCATCATCCTTTTATTGGTAACGCCTTATCATTAGCCTCCCAATGTGTCCTAACAGCATGCACAAGCTTATATTTCGCCCTTCGTTAGACAGCATAACAACTTATTACCGAAATACCAACTCTGAGTCAGTGGTGGGGTCGAAATTTTCATTAAGGAGAGTCAAAATTATCAAGAAATCAAGGGATGTCGTTATATAGTATATATACATATTTTAAAAAATAATTACCGAGCTAAACAATGTGATTTTTTGACGGTTGACACCACTTGGATGCATGTGGCTCCGAGAGTAATGTTCTCACCACTGACAATGTTGGTTTTTTAAAAGATAAGGCAGTAAAAAGATTAAGGGTGTGTTTGGTATAACGGAAAATATTTTCCAAGAAAATGTTTGCTTGGAAAACAAATAGTAATTTTATTTATTTTCCGGTGTTTGGTACGCAAATCAAGGAAAATAACTTCTCAAGAGTATTCATAAATAATTTAGATACAATAAACATGAAGCAATAAACTTTCGAACCAACAACCTTCCGAACCCACAAATTTCATAAACTTTCGAACCGCTAAACTTTCAAAATCCTGAATTTTCAAACCCGTAAACTTTATAATTTCTAAACCTGTAAACTTCCAAACACATAAACCTCTGAACTCATAACTTTGGAACTTGTAAAATTTTGAACATGTAAGCCGAAAGATGAAAAAACTAAAACTGAAAAAATATTTAAAAAATTATTGTTTTTCCGGGGGGGAGTGTGTGCCGAAAAACGAAAAAATAGAANTGGAGGAAAATGATTTCATAAGGAAAATGTTTTCCATGAAAAATTGGAAAACATTTTCCGGAAAATGTTTTCCTTCATACCAAATATACCCTAAAAGTATTGATTGAAAATGTATTTCAATATTTTATTAAGCATAACAAAGCTTTAAATAGCCAATTAGGAACAAAAAATCCACATAATTTAAAATTCAAAAAACCTAAAATATTTCAACCAACTTAAACAATCTAATCAAAATTTAAAATTAAAATTTATCCTAAAACTAAGCAACTTATTCTTCTAAAAATGTTACTGCAATAACTGAAAGCAACAAAATTTCAAGAGACAACAAGTTTAACAATTTTCCAACCACTACAAGGCTGTTTATAGGTATTTCTGTGCGCTTGCAACAAGTCCTTGGCAAGATCAACCGCGATCACACCAGCACTGCAACTCATACCACCAAGGTTAAAACTCTTGTAAACTACTCTATGTTATATTTGACTTGATATGGAGTTTAAGAAAAAAATTAAAACTTAAATTATAATCCTAGATAAGTATAATAATTGTGTAGCTAAAATTCTTTTGAAACTTGTGATATTAAACATGTCAAAGTATTTGTACAGCAATAAAAACTTCTCAATGAGGGTATAATTGAAAGTTTAAGTCAAATTATTTCTAAATTTAAAAGAAAAAAGGTCATTTTTTTGTTAACTGACCCAAAAAAAAAATAGGTTCGCATAACCTGAAATTTATTTTTAAGAGTAAGAAAACGAACGGAATTTTGGCACTTCGATATATATACATATATAGAGAGAATATAAACAGAACAAAAAAAAGATATTGCATCCTACCAGATTTTGAGACGTGGCGAACCCAAGAGTGAGCTTCCCCTTCATCTTTTTTGCATAAAACATGTCATGCACCTCTTTTGTCCTTTATATTTAGGATGTTTAACAAGTTTCCAACTACTACAAGGCTATTTTTCTGGACTATAAAGAAAAGGTAGAGATCATTTGTTTATTTGCCGACCATTCAAGGCAAGAGTCCTATTTCTTGTCTCCACATTTCACTATCAAAAATGAAAGACTCCGTCAATAGCAAATACCCCAACACCCAACCCCACAATTAAATAATTCTGCCCAACTTCACCCACCACTTTTCCTCAATGTCATTTGATGACTAGGTCAGTGGCTGTGATCATTTACTATTTTAGCCCAAAATTTAGAAGTCTTGAAAAAAATATTAACTAGAGAAATAAGAAAAATATCAACCTTTGTCACCATCCGTCACCATCTAATGATGCAACCTATGTTTGGAGAACTCTAGAATTTTATCCTCAAATACCAATCAACATCCACCTGTTGGACCCTACCCACCTCATTTACTCCACAATCTAAAAGCCATTCTTTAATGAGTGGGTAGAGCAGATGGTGCGATAATGTACTAATAATATATACAAATCACGCAATGCGTTAATTAAAAAGCACTACTTTATTAAAATGAAACAACAGTAAACATTTTTGCTGTGTTTTACATCATCAAAGACATTCCATTCCTACCAAACACCAGAAAATCCGAACTAGGGACCTTGAAAATGTTAATGGTGCTTTGTTCAGGAGAAATAAAGAAGCAGGGAAATAAAACTATAAGGCTACGTAGTTTCATTTGGGAGTGACAAAAAATAGACCTAGGATTATGGAAAAATACAAGGATGAATTCAACAAACCTGGACTGAGTTATCTTTAATACAGCCCAGACAACTTGAAACTCTTGCTGTAAACAAATGAACGATTAGAATTGAATAGAAAACATAATTGGAAAGTTATGATTGCCTTCCCCCCTAGATTTTTTTCCCTGCTTCTCCCAAACTTTCGCCTCCCATCAACAAAAAGTTGTACCCACCAAAATAATATATACTACCCTATGAATTTGATTTGTTTGGCTAAATGCGATAATGAATTAATCGTTGTCTTGCTATGCTACAAGCTGATCAAGTTGCATCTGCTCGAGCCAAGCTCCTAAAACTGAATGATCAACTGAATCAACTTTGCTCAGACTCTCACCAGATGGCACAGTACCCGAAATGGGAGCTGCCTGCTTCTCTTTCATCTCAGATGGTGATTCCTTGACAAGAGATTGCACCCATGATAGATCAGGCTCCTCTCCATTGTTGAGCTGCTCAAAAGAAGATGATCGGCGCATGCGTCCAACTCCACTTCCATTCACAGACCAGTCAACCTTTCCAGTGGGAGAGCCCCAATTCGACCAAGAATTACCTACTGGGGATCCAACAATGGAGGCATTATTGGAACCAAGATCACGGGAGCTGAGGCTGCGCAACTGTTGCTGCTGCTTCTCACGCTGTGCAAATGCTGAAAGGCGAGCGCTCATAGGTGAGATGGGCTCCATGCTTCTTGGGGACATCCTTCCAGGTGATGAAACACCAAAAGAAGCCTGCAAAAGAGGATGCTCCATGTTTTTCGGAGAAAAGACATTAGTGTTAATTGGGGAAAGCATGCTCTGCTGTTGTTGGAACTGATTAAAGAAAGCCGACTTATGTGATGGGGAGAAAACACCAGAAGCCGCTGCCTGATCAGAATACCGCGGAGAAGAGGTAATCTCGGCAGAAAATAGCTCTTCAAGATTTGAAGGAGTTAGTGTATTGGACCGACCAGATCGGTTCAAAGAGTTAGGATGTGGCTGTGAATAACAAGCCATGTCATTCAGAACTAGTTGCTGTGCATCAAAATCATGCAACATGTTGAAATCCTCAGGCGGAATGTCACGTGCACTAAGGGAAGACCTCAGGCGGCTGGACTGTAGATTGCTTCCAGGTAGATGAAGAGCGGGGACATTTGGCTGAGGCCATGGTGCAGACGGATGAGACATTCCATTGGCAGTAGGGGACATGGGTTGGTTGAAAGCAGGAGGAGACATCACAGAGTGTGCTGAGGGCGAGCCAGGAAAAAGGTTCAGTGCTGCAGCCATGTCCATCACAGTA